GGCAAGGCAAGGAGAGGGGAGCCGCAACCACGGAACAGAATCCAGGTGGTTCGCTGGGCCCCGCCCGCTCACCTCTCCCGTGTGTACGGCTCCGCCCCACCCACTCACCTCCTCCCAGGTGGTTGGCCCTGCCCCACCCACTCACCTCCTCCAGGGTGGATGGCCCCGCCCCGCCCACTCACCTCCTCCTGGGGGGATGGCCCCGCCCCACCCACTCACCTCCACCCTGTGGTGGATGGCCCCACCCACTCACCTCCTCCCAGGTGGATGGCCCCGCCCTGCTCGCTCACCTTCTCCCAGGTGGTTGGTCCCACCCAGCCCCGCCCACTCACCTCCCCAGTGGATGGCCCCACCCCTCCCTCACTCACCTCCTCCCAGGTGAATGGCCCCGCCCACTCACCTCCCCAGTGGATGGCTCCGGCCCGCCCACTCACCTCCTCCCGGGTGGGTGTCCCCGCCCACCCCGCCTACTCACCTCCACGCTGTGGTGGAAGGCGGCCAGCGCCTGGGCCTTGTAGTCCTCGGGCAGGGCTCTGCTCAGACAGCTGTACCACTCGTCCCTCTCGGCGCAGGAGCTGTGGGTGCGGCCCGGTGAGCAGGAACAGCAGAGCCGCTTGGCCCCCACCCGCCCTCTGCCCCAACCCAAGCCTCTCTGCCAAGGCGCCAGGCACCTGCTGGACCAGGTTCGAGTCTCCGCCCCAGGTGACCAGCAGGACAAGCATGCCCGCTGGCGCTGGACCGGCTTCCTCATCCGTCCACGTACTACAGTGTTCCTCGAACCCCCAGGGCTGGCACAGGGCGACGCGAGCCCCGGAGGGCCAGAAGGGTCTTGCGACTTTTTTTTTTTAATATATCTCTTGGGTCAGCAGGTGGCACGGTGGTTAACGTGCTGGATTCTCACGTGGCTAACTGTGGTTCGAGTCCTGGACCTGGTGGCTTGATATCTCACTTTGTCTCTTTCCTTCTGGTGGGCACACTTGCTCTATAGTGAATTAATAATAAATAAAATTAAATAAGTCTCCCGTTTTTGGAGAGATTTTTGCTATAGGGTGTGTGTGCTCGCCAGAGACAAAGAGATACAAAGTGAGAAATCACCCCTCAGGGGGTTAGCCACTCACAATCCCTTCTCCATTCTCTTCCCGGGATTTTGGGCATGCACAAACATATGCCTGGCATGAGTTTCAAGCCCCTGAGTCTGGGACTTGAACCATGGTCGACCATGTAGGAGTCTAGCAACTAAGTGTTACACCATTTGCTGGTCCCTATACATGTATGTATTTTTGGAGAGGTTTTTGCTATAGAGCACATGTGCTTGCCAGAAAGATAGAGACAGAGAGACAGAAAGCGAGAAATCACCCCCTAGGGGGGATGGCCACGCTGCAATCCCTTCTCCTCCATTCTCCTCCTGGGATCTCGGGCACGCAAGCACATACGCCCAGTGTGAGTTTAAGTCACGGGGTCTGGGACTTGAACCGCGGTCCGCTACATGGGAGTCCAGTGACACAGCCATTACGCCAACTGCTGGTCCCGACTCTTAAAAATTAGTAAGTAAATTTCTCTCTTTTGAGAGGAAGAGAGGGGAGAAAGCATCCTCACCAACCTTGGCAGGCCCTGGATCGTGGGCGCCTGTGTGCCCCGCATGCTCCGGGAGGTTCTCTGGATGTGAACCTGGGACCTTCCCATGTGGGCAGCCACACACAGAGCGGTGTGCTACCGCTGTGCTGTCTGGCCCTGGGTCGAGATCTAGGAGGGCGGGTTGGCAGCGGACAGTGGCTGGGTCCTTGGGGAGGGCGAGCAGCGGGAGAAACTGACCTACACCCAGTCCCCATCTTGTCCTCCTTTTCCCAAAGGCTCCCCAGACGCTCACTCGCCAGGTCCCTCTGCCCATCCCATGTCCCCAGGGGGAGACAGCCCCGCTGGAACGGTGCGCGGCCGCCGCTGCTGGGTGGGCATTCTCCCAGAGGCCGCTAGGTGTCGCGCTCGCCCCGCACATCTGCGTGCAGCCCGTCCCAGGGAGGGACAGGAGGCGGAGGGAGCGAAGGGGGCTGGACGGCCTGGGGGGCCGCTAGGCCTTCAGAAGGGGAGCACAGGTCTCTGCTGTCCCGCCAGAGCTGTCAGCACAAGGGTCTGGGCCACCAGAAAGGTGACTCCCTGAGGACACGGACCTGTCCCCACCTGAGAGATGGGCAGGCCCCCTGCAGGCCTGAGTGTGGCCCGTCTCCACCCTCAGCCACAGCTGGGGGAATGGAACCAAGCCCCGGGCCTCTTCCTGCCCTGACTTCAAGAGGATAGGAGGGAAGGGCAGCCGTGGAGTCCCGCCCAGGCATTACCTCCTCCAGGAAGCCTTCCTTCACCCCCAGCTGCAGAGTCAAGCCTACCATGCCTACCATCTCCGCAGCTGCTCCCTCTACCCCAGACAATAGACTGCAGAGGACAGAGGCTCAGGGTCACACAGGTCTGGGTTTGAGCCCCGGCTCTGACTCACACGGTTCCGTGACCCTTCTCTAGGCCCCACTCCCCAGGCACAGAAGGGACGGCAAGGTCCGCAGGCGGTGACCAGCCCGAGAGCTGTCCAGGGCGGCAGGCGCCATGCCCGTGAAGCCACACTAACTCTGTCAGCTATGTCCACGCTCACCGCTCCGTGTCGTGGCCTGTTCCCAACTCTCCCGCACCCAGGGCTCAGCACGCAGCAGCCCTCCACGGCCGCTCCGAAATGCTCACGAGCAAACGCAGACGAGAGTGCATGCGTGCGCCCCACTTCCACCCGGGACCACCTCACGAGCAGGACAGACCTCCCCACGAAGGGCACTGCTGCCACCCAGGACCCCACACCCCACCAGGCCCACCCCAGCCCAGAGCTGCCTAGGGCAGGAGCGGGGCCTCCCTGGTTTCCAAGCCTGGGAGCTTGTGCACGGCCTGCCCTGGGATGTGGGAAGCTCCTACCACCACCACCCAGAGGTTTTTGCTATAGGACACTTGTGTGCCAGACAGACAGAGAGAGACAGAGACAGAAAGCGAGAAATCACCCCCCAGGGGGGGATGGCCACGCCGCAATCCCTTCTCCTCCATTCTCCTCTCGGGATCTTGGGCACGCACGCACACACGCCCGGCGTGAGTTTAAGCTGCCGGGACTCAAACCATGGTCGACTGTATGGGAGTCCAGTGATAGAGCCGTTACACCAACTGCTGGTCCCAAGGTGCACATTTTTCTACTTGCTTTCACTGTTCATTTTGCTGTAAAGACCCAATCATCTACAGGACTTTCAAATGTTAGCTGCTGTTAGTATTTTTTTTAATAATAATTTATTTATTTAATTCCATTTGTTATTGTTAGTTTTTTTTTTTTATTTGACCACCAGAGAGAGAGAGAGAGAGAGAAAGGAAAAGCGAGAAAAAGAGCCACTGGGTCCGGGACTTGAATCACTGTCGGCCATGTGGGAATCCAGTGTCCTTAACCACCACGCCACCTACTGGTCCCAAAAGACTCATTTCCTATATTATCTTCAAGTTTTCCTTTCAATCGCCAAACAGATGCCCCACTCCCATGTGTCACTCAACCTACAGAGTGGGAGGCGGGGGTGATTTCTCACTTTCTGTCTCTCTGTCTCTCTCTGTCTGTCTGGCGAGCGCACGTGCCCTATAGCAAAAACCTCTCCAAAAAAAAAAAGTCACCGGGTCCAGGACTTGAACCATGGTTGGCCATGTGGGAATCCAGTGCCCTTATCCACCACACTGCCTGCTGGCCCCCGTTACTCTTTTTTAAAAAGAATTATTTAATTGTATTTATTATTACTTTTAAACATTTTCTAGAGAGCACATGCACTCACCAGAGGAAAGACCGAGAGAGAGAAAGGGACAATGAGAAAGCAAGCTGCCAGGCCTGGGACTTGAACTGCGGTCAGTCACGCAGACGTGCGGCATCTGAACCACGGTGCCACCTGCCGGCCCTGCTATTGTTATTCTTATATTTAAACAGGGCATTCTAGAAGCCCCCACGTTATATCTAGTATTTTACAAGTATAGACATGTCTTTGGAGGAAGAAGCCAACTTTTATCACATTCCGTGACCCCAAAAGAGTTAGAAACGCTGAAAAAGGAAGAATCCCCCCACCCAGTCCTGCCGGAACCCTCGGCCCGCACCTCGCAGACAGCGTCAAGCTGCTCTCGGCGGTCTCGATCCGGAGGGCGTAGGGCACTTTCTCCATCACGGGTCGGCTGACCTGGAAAACGACACAGCCCCTCAGGTGGGCAGGGCAGGGCAGCCAGGTCCCTTCTCCTGGCCGTGGACTAACACAGCGGCCCAGAAGTGCTGCCGCCGCTCCGGACCTCAGTTTCCTCATCCGGAAAGGGCAGGTGCTGGGTGGGAGCTGGAGGAGCAGCTGGGGCTGTGCAGGCCGTGGCCGCCCGCCCAGCCGGGGCAGCCGTGGAGCAGTGCCCAGGAGCACCTCGGGCTGGGCCAACACCTGCTCATGACCGCAGGCCCCCGCCAGCCATCTCTGAAGGTCCCTGGGCTCCAAAGGGCATCAGGCCTCCCCCCCTTCTCCCCTTCCCCATATCAAAGAGCCTCCAGGATCGAGGGACCCCTCGGGCCGTGTGAGGGCCCCCAGCCATCCTCCCTCTGCCCTGGTCTGACAGCCGCCATGACAACACTGTCCCCAGCGGTCCCCTCCCAGTCCTAGCTCTGTGCTGTACCAGAACCGACTCCGCACACCTGCTGCCGCCCAAGACCCCCAGCAGCTCCCACGGCCGCCGTCCTCCAGATGTGACACTGGGCTCGGCCACAGGGGACACATCATTTCACGGCCACGTGATTCCAACAGCCGAGAGGTGGCTGCGACCCGGTGCCGTCAACGAGGGACTGATAAATGCACTCTGGCCACAACGGTGTCTCGGCCAGCCCCAAATAGGGGATCCGACACGTGCTACCGTGGGGCGCGCCTCGAGGCCTCGGGGTCACGGGAACGAGTCAGCGACAGGGCAAACGAGTGGCTCCCCTCCCCGAGGTCCCTAGAGGAACCAGAGCCATCCAGACAGGAAGTGGGTGGTGGGTGCCCGGGGCTGGGGCTGGGCACAGGGACGGGGCGGAGTCCCAGCGAGGGAAGTCCTGGAGCCGGGAGCTGGGATGGCCACACGGTGGTGTGACCCACTAAAGGCCCCGGGGTTAGGACACGACGGGCAGGGGTCTCAGCACAGTTAAACTGACCACGTGCAACTTAATTCCTCCCTCCATGCCTTGGCTTAAGCATTTCCCCGTGGGAGGATGGCTCTTCCCCCGTCCTTTCCCCATCTGCTCAAACACCGTCTACTCCAGGGACTTCGATCCCCTCCTCCAGGAGGCCCTCCCTGACTGCCTCCCCTTTCCCTGGAAGACCCGCCATCCTCACGTTTCATACTGCTTCCCCAGAGCCTCTTCTAGCTGATCTATGTGTCTCCTTCTATCCTGGGGTCTCCCCTCTGCCCCCACCCCAGGGTGCCCAGCACCAGGGGCTTACCTTCATGCCGGCCACGGCCAACGCGCTCTTCAGCCGGTACTTCCCATCCTTCTGGGGATAGGTGTAGAGGAGCACGTCGGTCATCTGGGGAGAGGGGAGCTGTCAGGTGTGGCCTGGCCCCGGGGCTGTGCTGGGCCTCTAGCCACAGAGGACTCCAGGCACCTGGCATTCCCCCTGAGAGCCCAACAGGTGAGCAAAACCATTCTGTGTGAAAACGTGAGCCACCCCGCATGGGGCCAGCAGGTCGCATGGCGGTTAAGGTGCCGGACTCCCACATGGCCGACGGTGGTTCGAGTCGCAGACTGGGCGGTTTGTTTTCTCACTTTCCCTGTCTGCTTCTCTCTCTCTCTCTCTCTGGTGAGCACATGTGCCCTATAGCAAATTACAATAATAATAAAACAGGAACCAGCAGTTGGCGTAATGGCTATGTTGCTGGACTCCCACATAGTCGACCGTGGTTCATGTCCTGGACCCGGTGGCTTAAAACTCACTCCGGGCACGTGTGCGCTGGAGAGCCTGAGAGGAGAATGGAGGAGAAGGGATTGCGGCGTGACCATTCCCCCTGGGGGGTGATTTCTGGCTTTCTGTCTCTCTCTGTCTGTCTGGTGAGCACACGCGCCCATAGCAAAAACCTCTCCAAAAAAAGGGGAAAAGAATAAAAAAAAAAAAAAACCCAGACCCCCCCCACCCCCTGCCCAGAACCCACTCCCACATTCAGGAGGGGCAAGCTCCGTGTCCTCCAAAAGCCACGTCTGGGAATGCGCCCAGCGGCTGCTCCTAACAGCCTGGGTTGAGGAGCGTCACCCATGTCTGTCAATCAGCGAAAGGTCACACAGACCAGGGCGTCCACACTAAAACACCGCCGGACAATCGGGGCCAGGCCGCAGACACGCGGCCACGACACAGGGCACCCTGAGAACTACGCCGGGCGAGGGACGTCAGACACACACGCGTGCACATTTCCGTGATGGGAGTCAGGCAGCGGCTGCCGGGCCCTGGGGGGGAAGGGGCTGCAAAGGGGCCTGGGGGCTTCCTGGGGAGCTGGAAATGGCCTGTCAGTGCCAGCAGGGGTGACACAACGCAATAAATGAAACCTCGATCGCATACAGTTAAGGAAGGAAGGAAAGAGAGAAGGGGAAAGAGAAGGTGGGGAGAGGAAGGGAGGGAGAAAGGAAGGAAACAGATTCCTCAGGGACAGGAACCTGGCGGGTCCAGTTCACGCCGGCACCCAGCGGTAGTAGCTGCTCACTAAACAGCTGCTGTCTGAATGACTGAAGTACTCCTACATAAATGGCAGACAGGAAGAACGTAAGAAAAGTCACTCGGGACCAGCAGTTGGCGTAATGGCTATGTTGCTGGACTCCCATGTGGTTGACCATGGTTCGAATCCCGGAGCCGGTGGCTTAAACTCACGCCAGGCGCGTGTGCGTGTGTGCCCAAGATCCCGAGAGGAGAATGGAGGAGAAGGGATTGCGGCGTGGCCATCCCCCCTGGGGGGGTGATTTCTCTCTCTCTGTCTCCCTGTCTCTCTCTCTCTTTCTGGTGAGCACACGTGCCCTATAACAAAAACCTCTCCTACAAAACAATAAAATAAATAAGAAAAATCACTTCGCCTCCTTAGGAAAGATGGTCTCTGTCTCGCTAAAAGAGTTCAATGATGGGGCTAGCAGATGGCGTGGAGGTTAAGGCAGCTGGCTCCCACATGGCTGACTACGCAGTTCGAGTCCCAGATCCAGCAGCTTGGGGAACACACTGGGCATGTGCCCTCAAGTTCCCAAGAAGAGAATGGAGAAGAAGGGATCGCAGTGTGGCCGTCCCCCAGAGGGGCCTTACTCTCTGCGTGCGTGTATCTCTCTCTGGCGAGCACAGGTGCCCTGTAGAAAAGTGCAGTAGGTAAAATACACTTTGTCTTCAGAGGCACCGTCACAGTCACGGGGGAGTGCCTGGCGCTGCGTACGAGTGGTGTGACAGCGGTTGCGCCCTGTCACCCCAGCCTGAGCCCCCTTGCCGTACTAGCACTGCTGATAGAGAACAGCGTCTACACAGGCCGCCGTGAACCCGGACAAGCCCTCCACTGCAGGGGCCTTGCGCACAGGACTGAGCCCTCCACGCTGGGGGCCACCTCGAACTCAGGGTGCTGTGGACGGAGACAGGAAGAGGCATCCAAGTGTCCAAGACCCTCAGGATGACACTTCCTGTGCCTCAGGGACAGGGACAGAGTGGACAGCTCCTGCCAGCTGGCCCTCAGGGTCCCAGCCTTCCAGATGCAGGACTCTGCCTGGACAGGGACCTGCTAGACAGTCAGGACCCCCTTCCAGGCCTCGCTGTCTCTGGTCGGGGTTGGGGTAGGCCAGGCGGCTTTGCTGAGCTTACCCCTCTGCCATGGTGGCACAAGGCAACCACTGGCGCTGAACACGGACCGCAGCTGTGTTCCCATGGGATGTACTGGCCACAGGCGGGTGCCCACTGGGCTTGGGGCACTTGCTCGCCGACCCTGGGGGAGGCCTGGCAAGCCCCTTCCTGCTGCCTCCTCATCACGAGGGACCGACTGCGCTCAGCACCGAGCGCCCGGCATAGGCTGGCACCACGCACGAATACCTCACTGCCCTCCTGCACGACCCTCACGCTGCTGCTCCCATGTCATCCCCCTCTCCCAGAGGGACAAAGCAAGGCCCAGCCAGGCTGGGCCGGGGTCAGGGGCCGGGGTCGTGAAGACGCGTGGGTGAGCCTCAGGTGTCTGGCACGGCGTGCTGGGGGATCGCACGGGACGCCTGGCTCTACCTGGGGACAAGGACCCACACCCGGCACTGCCAGTGGACCCAGCTCTTCTGTGACTGCCCCTCGAGTACCTGCTGCCATGGCAGCACCCCCTGGCAACCACGCGG